CTACCCCCATAATGTACAGCGCTGAGCAAACTGTTGGCGCTATATAAATACTGTATAATAATAGTAATATATATCCACTCTTGTGAAATAATATAAATAAGTGACAGTCCACTTCTTGTTTCACCTTTACAAAAGAGTCCCAATCAATGTGCACCATAGTTTATTTAATAAGTGACCACCATAGACAGTGTTTCTTCCACCTTCCAAACAAGCCGCTTACCTCAGATATATGATCCACTATATGTTAGGTCAGAATGCGCCTTGCCCTTTAATAAGGAATATCTTTACACATGGCTCTAGGTTGCAGGTAACTCCATTTAACACCCATTCATTCTTCTTGTTATTCTCAAAAGAACAAATATAAAAAGCCCCATTGCACTATATTGCTACTCATCTAAACTCTTTTATTAAAAACAAGGGGATAAAAAGTACTCACAAATTAAGTGCACTACATCCAGTGCACAAAGAATATATCGCCTCTTTAAAATGACATTTCTTCCTTAAGATAGAGCACGGGTGTCAAACTGGGGCCCTCCAGCTGTTGTCAAACTACAAGTCCTATGAGACATTGCAAGATTGAGAGTTACAAGTATGACTCCCAAGGGCAGAGGCATGATGGGACTTGCAGTTTTGCAACAGCTGGAGGGCTGCCAGTTTGACACCCCTGAGATAGAGCATTGGATTCAGATACCTATCCCAAAATGTCCGACTGCCGGTTCCGTTTAGTGTAATGATGTCATCCGGCCATGCCCTTAAGACCATTTAAGGCTATCTATAAGGACTTGGTTGAACTGCTGAGTCCATGGCTCCTGGTCTAGACCGTGATGATACACTTCAAATTCTTGCACAGAGTTTACTTCACCCCTGCCAATCCAGCCAAAATATATAGGACCCACTCCTCTTTATGTTGGGGATGCTTCACACCAGCTGCAGATTTTATGCATATATTTTGGGAATGTCCTGTTATTAAACGCAATTGTAAGGGGGTTTTGATGCGCATCACCTCAGTCACTTCCAGCTCCTTCTGCTAAAGTCTGTTTGTTAAGCCTGGTTGAGCCTCTAGCTACCATGAAAGCAATTCATACCCTTCTCACTCTGTTATTATTTTGTGCTAGAAAAATAATTATTCTGTCATGGAAGAAACCTTCTGCACCGACTCTGACGGCCTGGAAAGCTTTAGTAAAGAAAGTAATCCCTTTAAATAAAGCCACCTATTTGAATAGAGGAGCCTTTGCCAACTTTGACAAAGTGTGGGGTGGGTGGCTTTCTTCTACTGCTATGGTTTCTGACTGAATGTCTGTTTCCCTGTTGCCCATTTCATAGTGCTTTCTGTATCTATGTATATTTTACCATAGCTACTCTGACTCTCAGCAGATGGGGGATGAGTAGGGTTGGCTAGAGCCTTTTACAAGTGTATTACTGAATTATGTCATTCATGTGGATATATTATACTGGATGTTTTCTTTGACTGATTTTCCTGATGGGATGGGGGTGGGCGGGAGAGTGCAGGTTTGTATCCCTATGATACGGTATAGCGGGGTACAGCACCTGACCGGTCTTGGATCTTTACCCTCCTCTTGGTGGAGACCCTCAGGCGGTGCATAGTAGATGAGGCAAATGTTATACTTCTATCATTTTTTTTACACTGCTTATTGCAGTGCCTTTTGTACTTATCTTAAAAATGAACTCCAGGAAAAAATAACCCTTTGAAAGGGATCCCTCCCAGCTGCACGATTGGTCCCATGAAGTCACTTTTGAAGTCACAATTTTTCCGCCAACCCATCTGGTGTTATCACATACAATGAAGGACCAGCAGTCCATCATTGTAAGCAAGGACACTGAGGGCCTGCCCAATCACCCGCATTGTAGAGTGCCATCTGCTGAAAAACCGAGGACTAAGGTAATTATGGGTGCTTCCCTGTGCCCCTAGACAATACAAACAAATCCTTTTAGTACTGGGGAAGCCCCACTGCCAGGGTAGCTTTTTCCCAGAGCTCAGCTTTAAATGTGTTCTACTGAGATGGACTGCCAGTCATTGGGAGCTGTTGCTATAGATATGTAGCACCCTCCTACATAGCTAGGGGGAGCTAGAGTTGATTCTTAATACAAGGGTTGAGTAGCATCCCAGGTGTAACTGTCAGAGTGGGGTCAAATTGTGGTCAAAGCTGAGAGGCTCTGCGGATCAGCTCTCTGAGACTTCCCCCTGCACTAGAACTTTGGATAAAGTTCTAGAAGCAATGGGCAGGTAATTGGGTCAGGACAGCCCTTTAAAGTGGCAGAAAGTGCTCAGCAGGAGGAGAGAAGGAGAGTTTGGGTGGAAGATGGAGAAGTGAGGCTGGCGAGCCAGAGCCTAGGAGGAAGCCCAGATGGGAAGGGTCTGACCTAGAGGCAGGGAAGCTTGGAAGGAGGAAAGCTTGGGACTTCTCCAGCCCCCAGAGCAAGGGCCACCTGTGCAGCTTGAAGGCCTGGTAGCAGCCACTGACCCAGTAGCTTCATAAGAGAAGTGAGTGAGTAGACCTGCACCTCCTGGGCCAGTAAGGGGAAGGAGCTCTTTAGTGGGAAACTGGATTAGCTACTATCTGGGAGTGGCAGATTCTGGCTCACCTGCCCAGGGATTCACCAAGAACACCAAGAACAGCTGGGTTAGGAGAATCTGGGGTCTGGGGTGGTACTACGGGAGATGCTAGCTAGCTCTCTGGAAGAGAATTATTGCTGTAAAGACTTGTACATAGTTCAGGAAAATTGTCCTCTGTTGCTATTACCCTTGGGCATCCCATGCACCCTTTCCCCATCCAAGTTATTTACCCCTTAATAAAATCCAAAAACCCAGCTCAAGCACTGGACACTGTCTCGTGGATGTAAGTTGGAATGGAAAATGTGTGTTACCTGGCTGTGCAGGACAATAGGGGGACCCAACATTCAGCAACTCCAAAGGGGGAAGTGCTACAGATACTGTATGTATAGAACTGAATAAATATCTGCAGTAGAGCCTCTGTAAAGGTCTGAAATACAGTCATAGGCCTAAAATTGTTACTTCCGTTGCCAAAAACATCTCCTTGTCAGCCAGTCACATAATCAAATATCTAGGTCTTGACCTCTGCTAAGGGGAAAGATCAGAGTTCTCACTGAGAGATTCTCTTCTTAGCAGAGGTCATAGGACCAAATGCCTAGTCATTTGACCACGTAATCAGCTGATCCAATCTGATCAGAGGTCATTGGAACTTGAATTCCTAGACCAATTTTGCATTTGGTCAGTTAAATTATTCTATGCTTATGTTAACATTTATTCTATGCTTACCTCAATACGTTTGCATTGTTTATTAATACCATATAAGGTTTTTTATTAGGTACACTTGTTTTAATTAATCTTCTGATTATGTAATTACTGGTTGCCATGTTTGCCACAGGAGGTAGTGGGGGAAAATGTCAATAATGGCTGCCTCAGGCACTAAGACCGGTGCTACTAGTTCCAAAATACAATGCAAATGAATATTATCACTGCAGGGGCATCATGCTGGGGAACTTGAATTTTCTACAGATTTCTGTCTTGATACGTTGAAATTAACAATGTTGGCAATATAGTGAGGGGTGTTTAATAAGGTGAACAATCTCTTTTCTTGTGAAGCTGTTTAAAAGAGAATTCTACAATCATTTTTCTGATGACACGTGTTATAATTTCATGTATGCCTATTCTCTACAGAGTTACCAGCTCCTGGTTATCAGAAATTATGTGGAAGTGGCACAGTTCATCAATAACAATCCAGAATTTTTAACCCTTGCTGAACCATTTTGGAAAGAACTTTTCAACCTCCCCTCGGTGTATGAATACAGTGCATACAGAAAATTCATAGACGATTACGGAACACATTTTCTGCAGTCTGGATCTTTGGGAGGAGAATATGAATTTAGATTCTTTATGGAGACTGAAAAAATGATCCAAAATGGTAAAGCTTCATTTACAATCATTTTCCAACTTCAATTCAGAGCCAGTAACCAGTCCAAGGGCTTGCTTTTATTGTTTTATTTAGGAGAAACAACTTGGATAGGGTCTACTGTATATAGGATGCCCAGCTTGACTTGCAACAATAACTCTGAGAACAAACATCCTAAATCCTGTACAAAGCGGATGGATCATGGCCTTTCTACTCCTGGTTGTCTGATGTATGTCCTATGGTCATGCACTGATCTACAGGAGTTGCAGAGCGTTCAATAACAGTGAAAGAAAGAGTCACAACATTTCTTGTCTTATTCAGGATAACAAGGCTTCAGGAATAACAAGGAATAGGGATGAATAAAACAGAGTTTTTGGTGAAAATCTGGAGATTTTGTAAAAATTTTGCTAAACAGTTAAAATTGAAGGTAATATGAAAGAGATTTTTTGGTGGTCTTTAACCACTTATAAGCCCTTCTTTACCAGGCCAATTTTCAGCTTTCAGCGCTGTTGCACTTTGATTGACAATTGCGCGGTCATGCAAGATTGTACCCATATGAAATTTTTATAATTTTTTTCTCACAAATAGAGCTTTCTTTTGGTGGTATTTAATCGCTCCTGGGCACTTTACTATTTGCGCTATAAACAAAAAAATGCAAAAAATTTGAAAAAAAAAAAGTTTCTTTGTTTCTATTATAAAATTTTTCAAACAGGTAATTTTTCTCCTTCACTGATATGCGTTGATGAGGCTGCACTGATGGGCACTAATAGGCGGCACTGATGGGCACTGATAGGCGGCACTGATAGGCAGCACTAGTGAGGTGGCACGGATAGGCAGCACTAATGAGGTGGCACGGATAGGCGGCACTGATAGGCAGCACTAATGAGGTGTCACGGATAGGCTGCACTGATAGGTGGCACTGATAGACAGCACTGATAGGTGGCACTGACTGGTATCACTGCTGGGCACTGACTGGCGGCACTGCTAGGCACTGACTGGCGCAACTGCTGGGCACTGACTGGTACAACCGCTGGGCACTGACTGGCAGCACTGCTGGGCTGCACTGATGGGCACTGGTGGGTGGCACTGGTGGGCACAGGTGGGTGGCACTGGTCGGCACAGGTGGGTGGGCACAGGTAGGTGGCACTTTTGGGCACAGGTGTGTGGCACTGCTGGGTGGCACAGGAGGGTGCACTGCTGGGCAAACATAGGTGCACTGCTGGGCACAGGTAAGCGGAACTGGTGGGTGGCACTGCTGGGCACCGATCATCAGGGCACTGATCATCAGTGCCCTGATGATCGGTGCCGATCCCCGCTCTGACAACTGCCGGTTCTCGGCAGTACTTTCCTCATGATCTGACAGCGTGAGGAAAGTGCAGCCGAAAACCGGCAATTGCATTTCCCGGTGATCAGCGTGTCATTGGACACGGCTGATCATGTGGTAAAAGGCCGCTGTGATTGGCCTTTTACCACATCACGTGATCAGCTGTGTCCGTAGATATGCGTTGATGAGGCTGCACTGATGGGCACTAATAGGCGGCACTGATAGGCAGCACTAATGAGGTGGCACGGATAGGCGGCACTGATAGGCGGCACTGATAGGCAGCACTAATGAGGTGGCACGGATAGGCAGCACTAATGAGGTGGCACGGATAGGCGGCACTGATAGGCAGCACTAATGAGGTGTCACGGATAGGCTGCACTGATAGGTGGCACTGATAGACAGCACTGATAGGTGGCACTGACTGGTATCACTGCTGGGCACTGACTGGCGGCACTGCTAGGCACTGACTGGCGCAACTGCTGGGCACTGACTGGTACAACCGCTGGGCACTGACTGGCAGCACTGCTGGGCTGCACTGATGGGCACTGGTGGGTGGCACTGGTGGGCACAGGTGGGTGGCACTGGTCGGCACAGGTGGGTGGGCACAGGTAGGTGGCACTTTTGGGCACAGTTGTGTGGCACTGCTGGGTGGCACAGAGGGTGCACTGCTGGGCAAACATAGGTGCACTGCTGGGCACAGGTAAGCAGAACTGGTGGGTGGCACTGCTGGGCACCGATCATCAGGGCACTGATCATCAGTGCCCTGATGATCGGTGCCTATCCCCGCTCTGACAACTGCCAGTTCTCGGCAGTACTTTCCTCATGATCTGACAGCGTGAGGAAAGTGCAGCCGAAAACCGGCAATTGCATTTCCCGGTGATCAGCGTGTCATTGGACACGGCTGATCACGTGGTAAAAGGCCGCTGTGATTGGCCTTTTACCACATCACGTGATCAGCTGTGTCCGTAGGACACAGCGATTACGGAGATCGCCGGGTGCACGCACCCGGAGCGCGTTCTGGGAGGAAGTCATATGACGCCCTCCCAGAACTGGCTGATCGCAGTGTAGCAGTCATTCGGCTATCTGCGGTTGGCAAGTAGTTAAGGTGCAATGGGCTTCAAATGGCTACTGAGGGTTATGGAAGCTCCTTTGAACTATCCCAGACCTGCCAAAACCTGCCAAAAACAGACAACAAAAAAAAGTTATAAAACCAAGAAATACAACTTATTCAACAGTACACAAATTATTTATCAATAACACAAAAAGCAAAGGCATACAAATATAGAAAAAACACCCTGTCCAAAAAAAAGGAAAAAAGACTTGTATTTTTAAAAAGCCAAAATCACTTAGCTATTGTCAAAAAGTTCACCTTTGGGAACATGTTACATGTTCCACCCGTTTTTAGTAACATGTTCCCATAGCTGCAGCTGTGCCCTGTGCCTCCCTTCCTCCCTCTGACAGATAGTACAGGTAGAGGTTTCCCTGTACTGTCTGTCAGATTTGAAAACAGTGCGGCTGTGTGGGGCTCGGCCCACGAGGCCATGTCACTCATTCACAGAGTCCTGTGAATGAGTGCCTGCAAGTCCCGGCAGTCTTAGCAGCTGTGGGCTTGTAGTTTTCAATGAACTGCCATGGTGCTGTGGAGCTCCGTGGTAGTTCATTGAAACTTCCTGTCAGTATATCTGCTTGCATCCTGTACGGCAAGCAGGAATTCTGACAGGTCTGCAGGAGACCTGCATGGCATCAGCAATCTACAGAACACTGGTGCAATGCTTTCCAGGCTCCCGCAGACAAAAATAACAAATGCACATTTTTTTTACCTGCAAAAAAATGTGTATTTATTATTTTTTTAAAAAGGTGAACTTATCCTTTAAGGAAGATGTAAAAAAAAAAGATTACAATGGGTGTATAAGAGAGCAGAAGGTTTAGAAGTTAGGGATGGGTATACATCAAGGAAAATCTAGAGTGGAGTTTGAACCAAACACCATCCAAACTATCTTTCTACTTTTGAAAAGAGCAAGGAAGGATAAAGCCAGCCATATATGGTTCGAATCCCTGCTAAACTGAATGAGATTTGAACCATGTATGGGCACGCTGAATGTACTCAAGTTGATTGATCAACTTGGGTACAACCAGCCCGTCAGATTTTACATGAGATTATTGCTAGCAGCTATTATAGCTGCTAGCAGTAATTTTTGCTCCCCCAACCTCCAGACAGGAGAATACAATGGCTCCGTGGGAGGGATTCCCCCATCAACACAGTGGTTGCAGGAAAGAAAATTGTTTCATCTATGGCCAACTTTAGAAGCTCTTGCAACTCTGTGTTACTACTTGTGTGTATTTGACAAGGAAAATATCCCTTTCTGTTTATTTGATGTATAAGAAGAAAGTGAGGAATAATCTCCCCTACAGGAGCACAGGCAACAATAACATGCATTTTATAGAAGTGTGGGGAAGGTTCAGAACCTCCGGCAGAATTATATTTTTGGTTTGTTGCTTTGTGAGAAAATATATAGTTTCAATTGCTAATATTCTGTAGAGAAAACGGTCGAAACAAAGTGAACCTCTCCAGTGTATCCACTATTCTTCAAAAATAAATGTATCCAGGTGTAGTGTAAAGCTAAAGTTTAAGTATGGCTTTTTTGTATAATTACATCACAAAGTGTTCTCTGATTGGTCGAGGCAAAAATTGGACCAATGTAACTATGCAGAAAAAAACCATACCTAAACTTCAGCTTTAATTAATTGCTGTCCGTGTCCCCATGCGGGATATTTCACGATTTTCATTTAAGGTAATGGGTAGACATGGGCGTTTCATTGTGTGTGATTTGTTTCTCGAATTAAAACTATAATTTTCAGAGATTTGGATGTATATGAATCTCTAAATAGACTTAGTAATAAATGTCAATGAATCAGAAAAAAAGTTACAATGAAATTAACGAATGCCTTTGTTTCATTCGGATGACGTCACATGATGCAATAGTAGTTCAGGTCCATGGAGAAATGAATTCAATTTTCGAATTAGTTAGATAATTTAGACTCGAATGGATCTAAATTTTGTTCCATTCATTAATTTGGATCCACATGACTCCAGTCGATATTGTCCAGTCAGCTCATGGCATTTCTCTTGATGGGTTGGACTAGCGTCTGAAAATATCAAATCCTTCCGATTCGAATCCATCTGATTCGATAATATATCGAATGTATAGTAATCTTCAAATCCACCTGGACAAACAAATATATGAAACGAATGCTGAAGATATGAAATTAATTCCGAAAGCAAATCTGTTCAACATAACGAATATGACAAAACAAAATTCTTCAATGAACAAATGAACCCGAAATAAATATTTCCAGAGTCCACATGTCTAATGTGTCATAGATACCACATGCCTGTTGTTATCTGATCACAGGCATGTAGTCATCTTAAAGTAGTTCTAAAGGCTCAAGGTTTTTTTTACCTTCATGCCTTCCAATGTATGAAGGTAAAAAACCTTCTGTGTGCAGCAGTGCCCCCCGCCCCCTCAATACTTACCTGAGCCTCATCGAGAGGTATTATTTTCAGGTACTTATATAGCGTTTTCAATTTACACAGCGCGTTACATATATATTGTAAATTCACATCAGTCCCTAACCCTCAAGGGGCGTACAATCTAAAGTCCCTAACTTACATTCATATACTAGGGACAATTTAGACAGGATCCAATTAACCTACTAGCATGTCTTTGCAGAGTGGGAGGAAACTGGATTACCTGGAGGAAACCCACACAGGCACAGGGAGAACATGCAAACTCCAGGCAGGTTGTCCGGGATCTCGGGTTTCTCCGCGGCGCACGGGTCTGCGCATGCACGGAATCCCGATGCGAACAAGCGTGCGGGCGCTAGGACATAGGCGCCCGCGGCAACAGTTATGGCTGCGCATGCGCACTCACGCACGCGGACGCGTGCCTGGCACCAATGACAGTGCAGGGCGCACTATTTAAACCGGCTCTTGCAATGCTCAAATTGCTGTATGGTCTTGTTCCCTGCTTATCCTGTTCCTGTGAGAGTATCTTGTTGTTGCTGAACCCAGCCTGATCCTGATTACTGCTGACCGTCTCCTGCCTGCCCTGACCCCTGGCTCATTTTGACTACTCTTCTGCCTGTTCCTGATTGTCTGTCCTCCTGCTGCTGAACCTGGCTTGTGACCTGAGTATCCTCTGCCTGCTGCTCTGTTTCCGTTCTGCCTCTGTTACCTGTTACCTGTTGGTTATGTGTTATAGAAGACACTTGTAGTGATGAGGCAGAAGTCTGACTTTACTTGTGTGGCTTAAGTTACAAACATACAGAGCACATTTCAGCAGACAGTGATAGCAGACATCTTGCTTTGAGATGAGAGAGAAGAAAGAACCAACAAGTTTTACACATATGCACAACTAATAACCTTAGTGTACAGTGCCATTTACTGGTCAAGTGATATTAACATACAATACTATATATAGTACATTATAGTACATGCTGTTGCATTCCCAACATTACCAACCCTGCCTGTCTGACACTGCTTCACAGTGTGTTCCGTCCATCCATCCTGCACGGATCCATCCATTACTGCCTAGGCCTGCTCTGCCTCTTCACATCGGTTTCTTATCCAGCTACGTGCCACTGGTGGTTCCCTCTACTACAGCTGGGTGTACCCAGGGGCCGCGACCTGGTCTCAGCCTGCTCCAAGTCCATCCCCACCGTCAGGGGCTCTGGTGAACAAGCAGACTAGGGCTTAGACTCCGCGCCCTGGGGAATCCCGGCCTGTGGATCCATAGAGCTACCGTCAGTAGGTATTTGACACAGGTGGTGCCGTGGCTGGGATTTAAACCAACAACCGTAGTGCTGCCAGGCAGAAGTGCTAACCATTTAGACACTGTGCTGAGATCCAGCAATGTGCACGACAGCCTCGGTTGTCCCGGGTCTCTGCCCCTCATTGGCTCAGACAAAAAGCGGGAGCTATTGGCTCCTGTTGCTGTCAATCACAGCCAGTCAGCCAATTAGGAGAGAGAGAGGGGGGTGAAGTCAAACCACGGCTCTGTGTGTGAATGGACACACAGAGCAGCAGGTGCTCCCATAGCAAGCTGCTTGCTGTGGGGCACCCGACAGGAAGGAGGGGCCAGGAGAGCCTGCGGGGAGACCAAGAAGAGGAGGATTTGGGCTGCTCTGTGCAAAACCACTGCACACAGCAGGTAAGTATAGACACGTTTGTTATTTTACAAAAAAAAAATTACCTCTAGAATCACTGTAAACCTAGTACACACGATGAGAAAATCAGGCGAAAAAACATTTTCAGAGCAATTGTCAGATAATCTGATCATTAGTATACAGCTTTCAACAGCCAATCATGACAGTTCATATGAAATTATTCAAAGGGACAAGCATGAAAATTAGAAACTTAGTTGATGGACATTCCAGGTCAACAGCAGAAATCCAGGTTTAGTCCAGATGTGGAAACAGGAAGGAAAGTCAGGGACTGAATTCTGGTCACAACAAAGAAGCAAAGGATAGGGTATGTAGATGACAGCCTCACCATGCTAAAAAAAATCATACAGCGTAACCATTCAGGCTGGTAAAATCGTAGAAAAAAACTCATGAACATACACAGAAATACTTGGACACACACAGAAGCACATACCTACACAAAAGCAAGTCTACTGGGTTCTTCCAATGATCTTTCCAGGTCTGATACAGCTCCTTTTCAGAACTTTAGCAATGAAAAGGCAATTGTATAGCATGTTCTTCCATGTTCCTAGTACAGGATGAATAAATAAATATTGAGGCAGGTAAAAATACTCACCAAGCTGCATTAAAAAAACACATAAATGGTGATAATCAATAAATGCATATAA